ATTCACACGTTAGTTTTTATAATAACACATTTCAACCCTGTTAAAAATTCAGAAATTAAATTAGAGAGATTTTTAAAAAGTGAACATTTTTAAATGACAGTGTTTTACTATATAAATAAAATGTTGAATAAAACTTTCTTACATTTATTTTTATTTAGGCCTATTCATTATTATTATGTCTTTTGATCATATAATTAAATTAATTTGTTAAAATTTTTTAGAAATATTAATATTTTTATTTAGGACACTGAACATATTTGAAAAAAAAATTTTTCAAAGTTTAAAGAATGCAGGCATTTTTTACATAACGTAATTTTTTACAGGTAAACAATTTGTTGCTTGTAAACAGGTAAAAATGTTAACGATATATGAGATAAAGAAAAATAAACGTTAAAATAAGAAAAAAACACATCTAAAAAATGTGAAAATAATGTACTTCTTGGTATATATTTACTGCGTGAACTAATTTGATGTACAAACATGATATGAATATTACAAAGATCAAACTCGATCATCGTTTTCCTTGTAATCCACACCCGACATTCACACATCAATGTTTTCCTTCGGTATAATTTTTAATCACAAACATGTTTCAAAAATAGTATGCTGGCCTTTATGTTGAAAATATACACTAAAGCAATGTACAGAAGCTTTTTTTAAATATAAAAAATTTCAACACATGTCAACATTAAATACATGCTTGTGACAAATAAAAGTGTTATTTTTCAAAGGTTTTTTAATTTTTTAAGTGTGTGCTTTTATGAACAAGATTAATTTTTTGAATAAGACTTTCTTTAAAATATCTTTTACGTGTGTAAATATCTTTCTTGTTCAAGGCGTCCACATACCAAAATCGCAACATTACGATGCTAAAAATGCCACTTTTAGGCGTTTTCTTATCACTTTAAGCCTTTAATTCTGCATATTACTTAAATCAACATATCAATTTAACCATAAAAGAAAAGTATAAATTATAATCTTTCAAAAAATATCAATTTCATTGAGGTTTATTGGCTTTAAATTGTTCATTATTACGGGGGCCATTATTTAGGACTTAGAATTATATAGTTCTTTCGCTTTTTGGACATATTAATGAATGTAACATCACTTGAAACTTACACGTTTTCAGTTTGATGACGTTAATTCTATTCGAGAGATATCGCTTATCGAATATATCGCTTATTTTGAGGTTATTTTATCCACAATTTTTCTCAACAAATAATCTAGATAAAACCTTGAACTTTATGCTAATTAAAAGTTATGTTGTACAGTGTCTCTCGTTTAAGGACAGATGATACCAACGTGAAAAAAAGTGGATACATGGGTTGGTATATATTTGATAGAATTTTTTCATCAAAAATGATGCAAATAATAAATTTCTAGAATATAAAGAATTTATAAACTTTCTAATATGTTTAAAATTTTGCATCTCTGAAACCATGCTTCTTAATTTTTACAAATATTATTCATTTCAAATCCATTTTATTTTGAAAATTTGAAAAAAAAATAATAAATATTAGGCGGTGAAACCCATTCATTTTACTCCTTAAAACATTAAATAACTCAAGTTCTTATTTTCATATTTGTTGACAAATATTTGATTATATCATCTGTACAAACACAAATATTGCTAATTCACGGACTTAGCCAAGTTAAAGTGGATCCCAAGCTATAAGAAATTTACGAATACCTTATACGGTTATAACGAATTACGGATATAGCAAAGTAATTTAATAGGGACTTCGTTAAAGCCGAGTTTTACTGTATGGTATGTGGCATATCCATGGAATAATTTAAAGTTTGAAATTTTATCCCAGTCTATAAAAATGAAAAAAAAACCATAAACCTGTCCTTATTTTATCGTTCTTATAACAAATTATTGAAAAACGTGTGGCAAATTCATTTGATATATTTTTATCGGATTTCGATTTTATAGTAGACTGTCATTAAGGCTTCAGAAAGCTACATGTTTGCCAAACAGCCCTTATAAAAATACATGTTCAGTTGATTGCTTAAATGAAAAAAAAACCTTAGAGAAATTGGTTTTTTAATGTTCTTCTTGATATTACCTAGTAAATCATTAAATTCTACTTATCAAATACGTATTAAAAGTTATAATTTTGGGGCAATATCTTTCCAATGGTTCCGATCTCACTTTTTAAAGACACTGATTTCAAAGTGTCCATCTGTACAACAAAAATTCATCTTATCAGTAAGTCACAGCTGAAGCTCCTTAGGGATCTACCGTAGGACTTCTACCGTTTTTATTTTACATTAATGATCTTCAATTATGTATTTCAAAATTCACTACATGTAATTTGCAAACGATGCTAATTTACATGCATGAAGCAAAGATTGTCAAACAATTGAGGACGCATTATCAACGAATATAGCTAAGATAAAAAAAAACGGTGTTCGTAAAATTAAATGGTTAAAAAGAGCTACAAACCTAAATGCATATTAGTTAGTACACATCATTTCAATGAGATATTCATATTGAACATGTTAAACACGGCCACGTTAATATTCAAATTCAAAACTTTCCGAAAAATTAGCAAACAATATTCGACATCCATAAATCAATAAAAAATATGAGCTGAGCAAACAAGAAAATCCATAACAGCAGAGGTGGGATCAGGTGCCATAGAGGGGTAAGGAGTGAGAATATCTAATTGTTGTGCGAAAGATATGGACAAAATGAACAGTATTCAATATCAAAGTTCAAAAAACAATACAAAACCGTAGCAGAGAAAACACGGACTTCTTTAACATCAGAAAAAAAATACGTGCAAAAATGTTTGATTTCATAGTTGTTAAAATAAAATATATGAAAATAACGAACAGTATTAAGGATCAAGAGTCCATTAAACAAATCAATATTGGAGCAAAGCAAACACGGACCTCCGAAACATCGGGGTTTGGATTAGGTACCATGAAGGATTGATCATCCCCTACCACCTGGTCAAACACACCATGTTCTCTCTGTCACGACAGGGAAATAACGGAAACATTCGTCGTCAATTCAGTGTATAAAAGATGGAGTAACAACTAGTATGAAAAACGTCGGTCCGCATTTGACTCATGATCAATGATCAATTGTATCTGCTAATAATTTCATTGTACAGACCAAAGAACTTACGTAATGATGACTTTAAACGAGACGGCTGATATTCTTGCTTCATTAACTCGTCTGTCAATAACTTACCTTGATTCAGAAACTGTTCATACGTAGAGTAAACTCTTGCGTATCGAATCAATTGAGATAAATAAACACCATATGCAGATGAATTGCTGCATAAGAAAGAGAAGATGACGATAGAAAAATTAAAGTCACAATGTATATCACAGAGTTTTGTTGTTAGATTGCCATTAGCGTCTTTTTCAAGGAAGGTACGAAGGAGATTTGTCAGACTCTGTGGTACCTTTTATCTCAAGCTCCCCAAGATACATCGATCAGCATTGGGATGAAATTACCATTGTTAATTGACAATGCATTGTCGATATATCTAAAAGTCGAGTCAAATGCCACAGCAAGTATTTTCTTCTTTTCACGCATAATATATTGCACAAATTCTGCTTCATATGAATACAAAAATAAGTCTGCTAATAATGGAGTGCAATATAGTACCAATGGGAATTCCAAAAGATTTTTGGAAAACCTGGTCACCAAAAACCACATAGATATTGTTAATCAGAAATTCAGGCATCCTTTTGATATCAACTTGAAAGTACTTGTGTGTGCAATTAAAATGTGTTTTAAAAAAATAAACTCGTAAATTAACAGGAAAGTAAATTTAGGACTTCAATTTTTGTTTAAAAAAGCAGCTGTTTATGATATCAAAAAGCCTGGACTTTATTTTGTTGTGTAGAATGCTTGTGTTAAAAGTTGAAATTTTGTAAGCTTTTAAGCTGTTGATATTGGTAAAATCTTGCGATTTAAAATTTTTAGTATCCACATCTGATTTACACTACTTCTTGAATATATTGTTGCACAGCACTCTTGAAGTTTTTTCTTCACTATTGTCAATTTTTTGTGAGGAGTAAAGAAAGAGGCTTGGTTAAACATTTACTGGAACCGGCGATGTGTAATGAATTACTTTTCACGCACGTAGCAACAGGTAAGAGGGGAAGGTGGCTAGCCCTTTTTTCCAGACATAATTTTCCATTATTGAAATTATTGATTGACCCCCCCCTCTCTCGCCCTCATTTGTAAGAGGAAGAATAAAAAAGGGAAATGTAGTATATTGAACCGAAAATTGTTTATCGAAAAAAAGTTGAACCCCATCACCACCACGAAATAGAATTGTCGAGTCTTTAGCAATTTCCTTTCTTATTTTCTTGTCAAGTTAACTTTCAAGTAGGTTGAATTTTTTTCTCTTGTTGGTCCACCCCTACTTTCAAAAACGATGATATATCAATGCCTTCAGGGCGTCACAATGTTTTCATTTAAATATATAATGAATATCACATGAATTTTGAGAATCGGTCAGTTAGCAATGTAAGAGGACATAGGTGAATTTAAATGCCACTTTAGGATGACACCTAGAGCACAATAAAAGTTTAAATTTTATCTTTCTTTATTTAATCCAACATCTTCATATTGTAATCCAACTTTTATTCGCGTGCTAGAAAGTTTTACCTCATCATCTCGAAGTTCTCTGTGTCTTTTAAAAACAGGTTAAAAGGGGGTTTAATCGCAAAAATTAATCATCGCAAACTAGTTTTACTCCGGTAAATTGCGAAATAAAGTCGTAGCAAATAAAAGTTGGTTTACAGTATATATATAAGTTGATAGAGGATATTCAATGTTTTGTAGTTAAATGTGTAATTCATTTCATGAGTTGGTAGAGTGTTTTGATATTTTCAGCGAAGCACGAATGAAAATATTTTTTTAAATCCTGTCTTTTTTGTAACATACAGTAAAAGGCTAATTAGTTGAGTTGTTGAAACGACATTAGTTACAGATGGGAGATTGAAACGTTGTAAACATGAACTCTGCAATATTTAAGTTGAAGTTTGCAATCCATTTATGTTGTAATCTTATCTTGATTCATCTAATCGGAGGATTCAGGTGTACTAAGAAAATCGTTGGCTCTCTCCATTATTGTCTTAATGTTAAACAGAGTAACCACATCCTTGTAATCACACGGTACTACTTCATCACTGTAGCTGGACTGAGGGTAAACGTCGTTATCGCAGAGGTTTAGGGTGTTTGCCGCCGCCTTGCAGCGCTCTTTTACTCTTTTGTCTCTGAAGATCTGGGTGATATCGTCGATTCCAAGACGGTCGATTTTTGTCAGCAGAATGAGCTGAGGCATGTCTGATGGGAAGAACGAGATATATGAGGCATACAAACTTTGTATTTCTTTAGTATGTTAACAAATAGAGGATTTTCAGGTTACAGATATGATTTTCCGTTCCAATATTTAACATGGCTTTGTCAGTTTGGTTGCTACAACCTATATTGTATCACCTATCTATGCAAACGCCAAAAAAAAATTAAATCCAAAATATGTTTTTTTTTATTTCCTAGTGAAATTAAATTTCTTTGCAAGGTAATATAAATTATGCTTCCAAGCAGTAGAAAATGATTTTTTTTTTCGTTTTATCTACCTGGTATTCAATAAATTTGGGAAATTTGAAAGATATGAAGGTTAACAAAAGGGTAAACCAATGTTTGTATGAAATTCTTTCATAAATTTTCTTTCTCTATTTTTTTTATTACAATTTCTGATAAAAAGGGGGTTCTCAGTTTCATAATATAAAGAAGAATGTGGTAGTTTATATCAAAATAATTTATTGTGTACTAATGTTTCATAAAGAACTATATGCGGTATTAACCAACATTTGCCCCCCAAAATCAAACTTTGATGAAGTAATATTTAATTAAGTCCTTAAACAGGGGAGTATATGCTGACTTCAAAGCACTGAATAATTTCATAAGTAATGACGTCATATGTACGTAATGACGTCACAAATATGACGTAAATTTCAGTTTTTTATGAATTTTGCAGAAAAATGTACATATTTCGTCGATATTTTAAATAAAAGTCACCGAGCGCATGTGTGTTCAGGATTAATATTTTGATATAATGTGTAGAATGATAATATCAATGAAATATGTCATTGTTCCTGAACACACATGCGCATAAATTCTAAAGCTTAAATTGTTGAAATTTTGTCCATTTTGTCCTCTTTCTGAAAAAGGATATAAAATCGGACTAGTTTGTGACGTCATAAAAACAGAAATTTTGAATACACTGCTCTGGAACTATAATATTTTCTGTTAACTTATATTTCTCGTACAATTTATTGAATTCAGCACATTTCAGGAAGTTTTCAAAATTTGCCTTTTGTGGGGGCAAACATATGCAATATACCGCATATAGTTCTTTTACAATTAAAACTTTTCGACCGATTTAAGTGCCAATATATAATATTAATTGATGCAGTATGTTCCACAAAATTCATAAATATTATTATATGTAAACCATTAGATATGATATCGTTAACAAAAATCACAAATGACCTTAAAAACCCATCCAAAGGAACATTTTTTTAAACAATGTTTGTCTTCAAAACTAATCCAAAGCAACATTAATTGAAATTTTATAAAAACCCTATGCATGTTGTTGCACATACCTTTTCTGAACATTCTTTTTATTGTCTTAAATTGATCCAAAACCTCGTCCTGAACAAATACTTCTTCATCGGCCGCCAAAACGTATACAACACAATGTATCTTGTCTTTCTCTTGAGGATGTTGACGATACATTTTGTCATTCGATTTTATTCCTTCTTTGGGGTTTATCTAATAATAAAATATTTACATCTTTCAGCAAGACTATCAGTAAATCTTAATAAGAAGAGGGGAACGAACATTTTGAAGATTGATAAACATATACATGTACAATTCCAAGAAATGGAGTTTTGCATTTGTAGACTCGCAATGAAACACTGTTTACACATCAAAAGTACAGGTAACCTTCAAATCTACAGAAAATGAACCCCTGCAAAAGACGCAATCTTTTGCATGGTCTATTCCTTGAAAGCTTGAATGCTTTTATGATAGGAAATACGATCGTTGACAATCAATAAAAAGTAAAATCGGAAAGAATTGCTTATAAAACGTTATAACTCAGGTTTAAATATATAAGTTTTTTAAAATGCCTCATTGTTATGCTTAATGTCTTAAAATGATCCTCAGTTATGCAAATGTAACACCGAATAGTTAGTTTGTTATTGCCATGTTTTAACTTTAAATATATAAAAAATGTGATACTTGTACGAAGACTGTGCCTGTTTTTATTTCTTTTATCCCCTGGTTGAAAAGTGGGAGGGTATACTGTAATCGATTTGTCCGTCCGTCTAGCTGTACGTTCGTCCGTCAATCTGTCTGTCTGTTACGCTTTGGGGTACCCGTCTTTTATCCGCAACTCCTTTTAATTTTTTTTATTACATATTTTTTTATTACATATTTTAATCCCAAACATGCTTTGGGTTTTCCCGCAAACGCAAAACATGGCCTTTTTCATAATAACCATATGGGAGGGAGGGGTATCATTTAGTGAACTCATTGCTCACAGTATCTCTAGTTTAAAAGTATGTTTGCATAAAACAAAATTGCATAACGTCACAATATTTTAATTTCTAAACGGGATTTTTTTATTATTCTATTTTTTTTTTCATGAATAAAATGGACTTTGAGATAGCTTTTAGCCCATAATTAACAACAGTTCAAGGAAGGTGTGAAATGGAATTGCCTTAATAAAATAAAAAATAACAGTATACATTCAAATAAACTAGATCTACTTTAAAGGATTTGTTTTGGTGTTGTAGTACTTTTTTCGTATGGTTTTATATTTCAGTGCTTACCAAATATCCAGCTTTGATATAGCCTCTACAAATCTTTTCAATATCTCCAGTCTGCACTCCTTTATCTCCCTTTGAAAGTCCGCGGAAGTCAACAAGTTGTACAGGTAGGTTTTCCGTTTTCTTACCAGTTTTTATTTTTAGTTTATAATGTGTCAGCTACAAAGAAAATAAGCCTGTGCATCAAAATTAGATAACATGTATGTAATTATTTTTTCTTAAAAATGGTTGCAAAAAGAATAAACGTTAGAAAAATATTGAAGATTTCGTTGAAGAAATGCATTATTTTTTTTCAATAATTAAAAGATGAGGAAGTATGTAATTCACCCATAAAGGACAGACGAGACGTTCCTTAATGATAGATAAGTTTTTCTAAGAGTTTGTCATAGAAGTATTGCTACTTAAACATTTTTACTCACCAAAAATTGAGATACCTTTCCAGGCATTTCTGCAAGATACCAGGGTAGTTTTTTCTTATATAATCCTTTGAGGAAGTAAAATAGTTTTCCAATTTCAAATGTTTAAGTGTTTGGATTTTTAAAAAATGTTTAGAAATTGGTTTAGAAATCATAATGTAATTAAAATTTTAAATATTTTTCACACATTACGAAGATATACAAAACAGATTTTGAGGAACGTCTCGTCTGATCTTTCAATTCATTTTGAATTCAATTATTTCGAATTATTTACCAAAGCATATAAAGTTCATACAATTAGATAGAACAAAAATATGAATTTGTAAAAGTTAAACCTTATAAAGTACTAAATGTGTACATGACATACTCCTTCTGTTATATTTTCGGATCCCACAGCTCCATCAACAGCTCTTTTAACGACTCTTCCCTCCTGCAGTAAGGCTGTCAAGCATGCATTTACAAAGGAAGATTTTCCACTTCCGGCTTGTCCAAGAAGTAAAATTTTGAGTGATGTTTCAGTTTTATGCCAACTTTCCGATATGTTATTCACCAAGGTTTCTTTTAACTACAGACAGACAAAAATTTTACGAGTTGCAAAAATATAGCAATGTCAACGTCTTTTACTCCGGAAAATAGATGAAAATGAATCGGAGGGCTACACTAGTGCAACTAAAATTTTACTTTATAAGCTTTTAGATTCTTGTCTTACCATTATTTGTTGTAAAGAATACTTATTATTATGCTACAACGATTTATTTATATTTAAAAATATATTTATTCTTTTAAATTATTTATTAACGTTGTTTTTATAAAATTCCTACTGCAAGCTTTCTGCTTTATACATGTAGCAGACTATTATATTGTATTTAAAATCTTCAAAATAATAATAAATAAATAAAACTTTTCTTATATGCTAAAAAAATCATGCATCATTTTCTATTTTTAACTTTTGTTGAATGAATTGTGCATTTACATATTAGCATGATGTAATTTAAACACACTTTGCATGATCAGACACGATGTATAATGGCTTATAATCTTTGCATAATCTTTAGGAAAATAAAAAAAGAGCAGTATAATGAATAGAACACGTTTAAAACATGCGAAAAATTTGATCAAGTCTTGCTTTAGTCGTCTTATGTGCATGTCTAAATAGTTTGTAACATTTTTATCACCCAAAATTTGCGATATACATGTATGACCTTTTTGTGGTCAGACAGGAACTCTAAAATATGCCCCCCCCCCCCAAAAAAAAAAAAAAAACAACTCTGTGTTCAGTTGCTGAATTTTAAATTGCAAATTTAAACCTGAAAAAAAAGAATTGTAAGACAAAGATGGATAGAAACTGGGGAAAGGGAAACGTGTTTCATGATAAATTCTTTCACTTTAAATTTGTACCATCGTCTTGAAAAATAAGGTACATGTACCGTTACATGTACAATTGAAATAAATTGTTACCTGCGGAACGTCTGTCAAGGTCTCGTGGATTTTTCGCCATGGTTCATTAAGAAAATCTATCAAGTAAAATATGTTAAGATTTTAAGTAGTGGACTTCTCTATCTGAAAAAAAAAATCTTTTTAAAAAAGAAAACATATTTTTACTTGGATTTTTTTCCGCCTCATTTCTTTGTTTAGACGTCTCGTCAATTCGTTTCAATAAATCTACGAGGCAGAAAGACCAAAATGTTAGATGAGAAAAGTAAAGAAATAAATACATCTGTAACAATAATCAGCATTGCATGTGTTCATATTTATTATCATTTTTAAATCCATAAGTTCTTAATCCATAAGTTTTGCGAGTCTGCGACATGGATAGTGTTAGAAAATGATCGCAGACTGTATTCTTAGTATGTAGTAAATGGCTCTGACTGCTCTAAGAGATCATATTGAAAAAAGCAATAACGTTTTCAGATATTATCAGATATCAGAACATTTGTGCAATCAAAAGTTGAAAAAAAAAAGAGCTCAGCATACGTATAATTGATTGCATTCTTACTCTGTACCCCGTAAAACCCCAAAATGGAAATCGGAATAGATACTGCTACTGCTCCTTTTACATAAACTGAAAAATAAACAAAATGAATATGCAATGCTACGTAGTTTTTATATCCTATCTACACCTATCTACACCTCACTAACACACTTAATGACGTATAAAATTTCAATACAACTATTTTTAAGATTGTGATATTTTTAACATCTGGGTGAAACAAAAATACTTGCAAAGCTGCAACTTCTTCAAATGAGATATCCGAAGTTCTTTGAAGCACACATTCTAATAAGATATTATTGAAACAGAAATGGGTTATTTTGCATCGTACTATTGATATCCTTCAACTGCTGTAACAAGCCCATTTTCTGTATTGCATCCCTCAAACCTGTTAATTAATTAAAACCATTATCATAGAACTTGCAAAGCAAATATTTTACGGTAGATAATAATTGTATTTTTGCACAAATTTCTCTTCACTGAATATTTATCAATGATATTTTGTATGCAACTTCGTGTAATACATTTATAGGCATAGAAACTTTTCTGCTTCGCAATACAATGTAATTACCTTTCAATTAATTTTTTTTATCGAAATGAATTATATATTCTATTAAGATTTCCTTACCTTCATTTTCTTTTGCCAAATTCAGTATTTCCGTCTTTAAAACTGTATCATATAATACTCTTTTATATTAGTACAAAATATCAATGAGCTGGGTTTTTGTTGTTAATGGAGTTGATATCTTCTTACATAAAAATTAATAAACATCTTCTCACCTGAGATTTCTTCAGGAGAAACGATAGACGAACCTCCACCCATTATAACTAAAATGTAAATGCCACATTATTTAATTAAAAATATTCCGATTCTATCCTTAAAATGTAATTAAAAGCGCCAGGAAATCAAAGTAAGAACACTTCATCTTGCCTTTAAATTGACAAATATGTGTAGATATGTCGACGATGTATTATCAATTAACACAAACCACGGCTATGTCTAATTATATATCAACCAGATTAAAACAAAACGTAATATGTGCAGATAACGAACTATAATAATTTTATCAAAAATCAAATAATTTACTATTTGTCAGTATACAGAATTTGTCAGAATAAAAACTGCACGTTTTTACTGAAAGGTGTCATGAAAAATGGGTAAAAACTAACTAAAATTATAATAAAATGATTCCTGGATGCATGACGAGTTTCTGCGTTTGGCTACATTTTAAAAGATTGAATAATTGATTTTAAAAAATGCGTATTTTTATAATTCTTTTACTCCTCAATTATTTGTATTAAACCTACCTGTATTGAAATATCAAGTTCAAGTACTTGACAAGTACATAACTTTATTAAAAGGTTACGCAATGAATGAATGGAAAATATTTGGTCATTATCTTTTATAGTAACAATTTTTTGTTGGCATTTAACACTGTCCCATATGTGCACATAAAAAAATCTCAACCGATGAATTAATGAAAAAATATATATATATATTGAAAAATTTCCATTCAAGAAGGACTGAACTGTATATTCTATTCAATCAATTAGGTATGATTGAAAAAAAAATTAACAAGGTATCGGTCCTACTAAGCAGAGAACTGTAGAGAACTCTAGAGAACTCTAGAGAACCCAAGGTTTATATTATGAGTTTATATATGATTTATGCATAATTGGATAGATTTTTACTAAATAAAGCATATTTTATTCATAAAATCAATTAAAAAGGTATTTCATGGAAGTTTTCAGCAGAAAAAACGAAACAAAATAGAAGGTAAAATATTTTATGACATCTCGATCCCGATTGAATTTCAAAAAAAACATTTTTTATCGAAATAATAATATTTTCACACAATTTTCAATTATTTTTCACATTATTTAATATTTAATTTTAATGAAATGTATAATTCTTAATAATTTACTCTGATATTAAACATATTATTTAATGTCTTACTAGTTTTATTATCAAAGCTATGATGAAGTCTTAAGAGATAATAGAGTACTCTGTTTAAATAAGCAAAAAACTTGTCAAAATATACTATATTTTGATTTAATTTTGTTTTGGCATGATATATTAGTTATCTAGAATATAAATATTTCATTTACAGACAATAAATAATTAAAAATCAATAGGGTTCTCTAGAGTTCTCTAGGGTTCTCTGTTTAGTAGTACCCACCAGGTATATATCTTCTGATCCGCAAATAAAGTATCTTGTAAATATAGATCAGGTCATTCCATATCAGGTCATTACACTGTAGCAAAATTGAAATGAATATAAAAGTTAGAAAAAAAACAAAATATAAGCAATTTTTTATGGTTTGACTAAAACATTATACAAATAGTGACCAAAATTTAAAAAAAAAGTTTTTAAAAGGATATATATTAAATAAAACAAGATAAACGTTCATCAGGTCATTACACTGAATTGATTGGAATAATCTCTCATTCATGCAAATAAATGACTTATAAAATTTTATTTTTTTTTTTGGTTTTATAAAAGAAAATGACATAACATTTAAAATTAAATAATAAAAGTTTATTTTATTTGGTATTTTATCATTTATTTTTTTAAATTATGTTCATCAGGTCAATCAGGTCATAACACTCATCAGGTCTTTACACTGTGCCTTTAAGAGATTCTTTATTCCCTTTCTGATTTCACTCATGAGTAAGTTACTGACTGCTTTCTTTGCTCCAGGAAAATGGTTATATAGGTATCGGAATGCTTTCTTGTATTCATAATTTTCTAGCAATCGACAAGCATTTGCAACTGACCTCCTCACCTGAAATTGATTTTAAATCTTGCAAATAAAATTTTCCAATGCTCCATGTAGAGCCGAATAAAGGCCCCATTCTCAATTTCAAAATTCCTCCCTTTTCCCCCAAAATAAACCCACAAGTTAACTTGATTAAAAATTAAGTAAGAAAAACATGGTCAGGTTTGGAAATCTCGATGAAATGAACAAAAGGTTAAGAAACTAAGCTAAAACTTTTTTTTGTTATATAATTGATATTATTCTCCCAGTTAAAAAAAAATAGTAAAAGATCAACTTTATTCACCATTTATTTCAACATGCAATAAAATTTCCCAATAAGTAATAAAATCCACATTCGCAAAAATAAAATGGAAAATACCTGAAGCAGCTACATAGAATTGCTTAGTAAACATTTTTGCAAGAATAATACCTACCCCCCAACAACAACAAAAAACGGATACTAAATTTTTCATAAAAAATTCATTAATAGTATACCTTTCCTTCTTTAAATTTTGTCGGTGTTGTTCCTACTGGTCGTAAAACTTTAGATTTTCTTGGGGTTTTCAAAGGCGTTAACGAGTGTTTCAACATGGTTTCGGAATCTGTTTACATTGTGACGTCATATCCCACCAAAATGTCCGAGTAAGCTCTATAGCGAATCATGGATGAAAAGGATATCGTAGAGACTTTCAATTCTTTGAAACAGGTATACAAGTTTCAATTTACACTAAAAGATGAACAGATGTCCGTCCTGCTGGGTACAATGAACAAACGCAATACTTTCGCACTCTTGCCGACAGGGTATGGAAAGTCGATGTGCTTTACGCTGCCACCTCTTCTACTTGATGAGGTATTTATAACCTTTATTTTTATTTCACTCCTAATAATGTTGATAATTTTTTAATTTTTTTCTTAAATGTTCTGTTTTTTTTCTAGTTGGATTGGACCATTCAACACATTTCTGTTGTTGTGTCACCATTGAAATCATTGATGGCAGACCAAGTGAATTCTCTTACAGAAATGGGGGTCAGGGCTTTAGCCATTTCACCAGAAATGCAACATGATACATACAAAGGTGAGATTAACATTAGTAATTAAGTTATCTTCAAATTGCATATAACTTAAGAAAAAAATAAATGTTGTGCTTATTTTCTTAATATTTTTACAGACATTAAACAGGGTAAATACTCCATAGTTTTTATTTCTCCGGAGTCTGCCACATCCAAATTTTGGAGGGATATCTTCCTATCTGATGATTTCCAGAAAAGAATATGTTTACTGGCCTGTGATGAAGCACACTGCATTTCTGAATGGTAATTCAATATTAATTAAATTACTTTTAGAATTGATTTATTGGGTATGTGAGAGTTTAAAAAGCTGTAAACATTGTCATTTCATTGATGGTCTGTATGTTGACAGGTGTGAAGACTTTAGGCCAGTGTACAACAAGGATGGGGTCAATTACATAGGAAAGTAATTAATTAAATTACAATTACTTTCCCAAAACCTTCAATTAAATTACCATTACCGTTACATGGATTTTGAAATGTAATTAATTAAATTACAATTACTTTGCAAATGTAATTAATTAAATTACAAATTACATTCATACACGTATAAAAGTTAATAGTCATGTATATTCCTTTACATTTATAACAGATTATTTTACAATAATATTATCAAAAAGCTTCATACATTTTTTAAATACTGTGTCCCCTATCCTAATATATCTTCGATTAATTTGAAGATTTTCCTTACATGCTGAAGATTCTTTCCACTGGGGTATTTGTGAGAAAAATGTGCATGTAGATACTGACTGGTAGAAGGTTACAGATGATTTTACCATAATTCATATGTTTAAATTTTGGAAATATTTTTAAACTTTCCCATAAACAAGTGATAGATTTATGCTAAATGTACTTTTGATGCTTTAATTTGCCTTTATATTTCCTTAGTTCAGCATCATAGGTTACCCTCAAAAAGTGGGTATTTGACTTATTCTGTGCCATACTACAATTAAAAGTCAAAGAGTATGACTATAAAAACACCAACAGACAAAGTCAAAGCTGTGAAAAACGTTTATTTAGGAATAAGTATATGACCTCAAGACACTAATTAGCACCTGTTAATAATTTTCAACACAAGCTGAAATTATGGCCAACAAAAGGATTAGAAGCCATTGGACTTCTTTTTTTTATGGATTGATTAATTAAAAAAAAAATATATATGAATTTTATTTGTAAACTTTATAAAGATTAATTTGAATTAATATTTTTAATAAAAAGGGGCATTGTATTTAAACAACAATTGACATAAAAAAGGGAAGTTCTTTTCAAGAAATTTTAATTTTTAAAATTTGTGGTCCAAAATATAAGTTATTAATCTTTCGTAAACAAGAAATCTGTGAGCCAATGTTCACTAGTAATACCCCCGCTCTGATGTAAATAAGCACTATCATGTTAATATACACAAGTTCGATAACAGGCAAATGCACAGAAAAATATGAAGTTGACATCAGATTCATATAGAATTAATCCCACAATATGGCATGCCTTAACAAATAAAAGTTAATGAGAAAACTGCGACGAAAATTTTCTTTTTGACAAGTTTTTCAATATGACCTTAAAAAATAAATGTCAATCATAACAAAAGATTCAATCTAATCTATTGTTTTAATGATCCAGATTATACATGTACCAACATTATCCACTACATTTCTCAGTTCCCAATACCCTATGCATTTTTTGCATCTCTTGTTTATTCAATGTATATACATTCCGGTTACTTTGTATATGCACTCTGCAACTTGTTTTTGTGAAGATACCATTTCTACTAATGTGTACCTTTACAGTTTTACCACAATGTTAAACCTTTTCAACACAATTACACAATTTTTGTGTTCTTTTATTCACAAAAGTGTACAGTATATTACTATTCACGTTATCTCTATGTACATATTCGCTTTCCATTTGATTTTCCTGTTTATTTTGTGTTTATGTTACATGTATCCTTTCTATTATTTTTTTGTTAACTTTTTGAACTGTGCATTATATCCAAACTTTCTTAGTCATGCAAACAAATATGTGTATTCAGCTACTGTAGTTGTTGAATGTGTCATAAATTTAGCAGCCACCGATTGCAGCTTTTTGTTTAAAATAAACTTTTGTCACAAGGTAGATAATGGGTAACTCCATTGAACAATATCGTGCTGCAATCGGTCTTTTTTATTTATCTGGCAGATGTACATCAAAAACCTGTTTATGGTCGTTTTTTCCATGCGCATGTTTTTTGCAACTAATGAAAAATGTTTTTAGAATACTTGCTCATTGCTTGACATCCATTACCCTAAAATCTGTGTACATCAACTTTTATTTACAATTTTTCACATTCGTTCTATTGGCATGTGGTAATATTGAGGTCAATCCGGACCCGATTGAAAATGTCCTTGACATTCTACACCTTAATATTCGTAGTATTAGAAACAAATTAGATTACTTAAACTCTTTCGTTCATGACTTCGATATTTTATGTTTTACCGAAACCCATCTCGACCAAACAGTAAATAATGACGACTTATATTTGGATGGGTTTTATAATATAATACGAAAAGATAGGAATTGTTTCGGGGGAGGTGTCATGATCTATTTTTCTAATCAAATACGTGTTATTAGACACTATGATTTTGAACCGTCTGACATTGAATGTATTTAATTGAAATTGATAACCATACCTCTAAAATCTTTTTATGCTGTGTATATCGTCCTCCGAACTCTGATAGTGGTTTTTGGACCAAACTGTCATGGTGTGTTGACAAAATGAGTGAAAAATCGGATAACATAATTTTAGTCGGTGATATTAATGTTGATCTCCTTAATACTCCACAAACACATATCATCCATGAAATTATCTCAACACGTAACCTTGTTAATAACATCCACGAACCTACAAGAATTACACACACGTCGAGCACGCTCCTTGACCCAATTTTCACTTCAGTTGATGTCCAAGTTCGTGAATCGGGTACAATAGTAATGGACTCTTCCATAAGTGATCACAGAGCTACCTATTTAACGCTTTCTTCTAACATAAATTACAATCGATCTTACAAAAGAAAAATTTGGGCTTATAAAAGAGCAGACTTTGATAAACTAAATTCTTTAATTGAAAATTGTGATTGGAATAAAACTATAAACGAGGCTCAGTCAGTAGATATAGCAACGGAAAATTTTACATCTGAATATCTTGCATGTGTTCGCGAATGTGTTCCTGAACAAACGGTAACCATACGTCCCGGCGACAAACCATGGTTTGATTCACTTCTAAGGAAAACAATGAGAACTAGAAATCGACTTCATAAGAAAGCACACAAAACTAAAAAAGATTCCGATTTTGCCGCATACAGAGAGGTCCGAAACTCAGTAAACAATATGAAAAAATATGCAATAACAAATTATTACGACAATATTGATACATCTTTAGAGGATTCAAGCAAAAATAACAACAAACTTTATTGGAAGTTAATGAGAGACACATTCAACATGAAAATGTCCAACGAAATCCCACCAGTCCAAATACATAATGACAACGGCGAAAAATACTTTGCTTATTCTGATATCGATAAGATTGAAGCAATAAATTCATATTTTTCTTCCATTTCGACAATTGACGAATCAAATGAAACATTGCCAAACATGTACAGTTTGTGTAGCGATACATTCAGTAATATTGTCATTGAGGAAAAAGAAGTAATTGATATTATATCAATTCTTAATGTAAACAAAGCCATAGGTCCTGACTGTATCAGTCACAAAATGTTAAAATCCACTATTTATACTGTTGCTAAACCACTTACACTGCTGTTTAATAGGTCCCTATCAGAAAAAAGTTTCCGGTTTTTTTGGAAAACTGCTCATGTTATTCCTTTGTTTAAAAAAGATGACCCCTCCTTAGTTTCTAATTATAGACCTGTGTCATTACTATCTTGTGTTAGTAAAATTATGGAGAGAATTATTTTCAAACATATTTACAATTATTTCCATTGTAACAATTTGTTTTATCGATATCAGGCGGGTTTTTTACCAGGTCATTCAACTGTTTACCAATTACTAGAAACGTATCATAGCATTGTTCAAAATATTGATGAAGGTAAATCTTGCTGTATGGTCTTCTGCGATCTTTCAAAAGCTTTTGACAGAGTTTGGCATAAAGGACTTCTTTTTAAATTACAAACTTATCAGGTGATCTTCTATCAGGTGATCTTTTACAGTGGTTTTCTAGTTTTTGTGTAATAGGTCGCAAAAAGTTATGTATAAAGATCTGTTATCATCAAAACTAGATATTTTTGCAGGTGTACCCCAAGGTTCTGTTTTAGGACCCCTTTAATTTCTGATATATGTAAATGATGTTGCTGTAAATATGTTAACATTGTGTAGACTTTTTGCTGATGACAATTCGCTTCAACATTCTTCATACAACATACTTGATATTGAATATAATTTAAATCATGACTTACATATACTGGAACTTTGGTCAAATCAGTGGCTTCTAAAATTCAACCCCTCCAAAACGAAAGTGATTTTTTTCAATAAGAAAAATATTTCTGTTATGCCTAAGTTATTTTTTAAAGGTGACAGACTGGAGTGTGTCCCTGTTCATCGTCATTTAGGTCTATTGTTATCACAAAACCTTAGCTGGACAGAATACATTGATAGCATTGTAAACAATGCTTATAAGAAACTTGGGCTTTTGAAAAAACTGAAATTTAAAATCGGCAGGACACATCTTTCGAAATTGTATGCAACATTTATCAGACCCTCGCTCGAATACGCTTCAATGGTTTGGGATGGCTGCTCTAATAATGATGCCGAAAAGCTTGAAAGAGTTCAATTATCTGCAGCTAGAATTGTTACAGGACTTCCAATTTTTGTGCAAAGAGAAATACTTTACTCTGAAACTGGCTGGGAAACATTGAAAGTTAGGCGCTATATTGCAAAAATGACCACGATGTACAAAATTCATAATGGTAATGTACCTAAATATTTGAATGACATTGTTCCAGACAAGCGCGAAAACATTTCAAAATATAATACCCGTAATAAGGAACGATACGCTGCCCCAAGATGCAGATTAGAATTATATAAAAGATCTTTTATTCCTGACGCTGTGAAACAGTGGAATTTATTAAAGACAGAAACAAGGGAAGCTATCTCTCTCAATGCGTTTCGAAAAAACTTAACTATAGAAGTAAAAAAATCCCCCAATCTATTTTTCATTTGGCAAACGTTATACAAATATAATCCATATTAAACTTAGACACAATTGTATACTTGATTATGAGTTACACAAAAGAAATATTATTAATAGCCCTTTATGTTCATGTGGAAAATATGAAGATGTTTATCATTTCTTTTTTGCCTGCAGAAATTATCCAAACGCTAGGA